GGGGGCGGTGTCAGAGCCGGGGAGGGGGCCTGGGTAGTGGTTCTGACAACGCTGTGTGCTGCAGGACCTGCTTCCCAACCCCTGCATCCCCATCCCAGCTTCCTCCAGCTCCCACCCACCTCCCTGCTGCGCCGCTGGCTCCAAAAGTCCTGTTTTCCCGCCCTTCTTCCCTCCCAGAAGTTGGGAGTTGGAGCAGCAGGTCCGCAGCTGCGGGCAGCTGGGTGTCCCCCAGCCAGGGTCCCCGCTCTGTCCCCACTGCGTGTGGCTCCTTGGACCCCGTGTCCCTCCCTGGTGCAGGGACGGTGCCCAGGGGGTCTGGGTGAAGGAGCAAGGCAAGGACAGAAGGGGTGTCCCCAGCACCTGAGGGTCTCCCCCACGATGCCACCCCACGGAGGGGTGTTTGTGGGTCTCTGGCTGCTGCTGGCCCCCAGTCTTGCTGAGCACGCCCCCGGCACAGCGGGGGCCACCCTGGCCTTCGTCTTCGATGTCACCGGCTCCATGTACGACGACCTGGTGCAGGTGATGGATGGGGCCTCACGCATCCTGGAGCGGACGCTCAGCAGGAGCACGAAGCCCATCAGCAACTACGCGCTGGTCCCCTTCCACGACCCAGGTATGGCTGGGACAGGGTGAGGGCACATGTCCCGCTGGGGAACGGGGCTGTGGGGAGCTGGGGTGCCGTTCTGGCCAGGTTTGGGGTGGAAACATGCACTTCCCAAGTGCCTGCACTGTCCTTTCCCTCTGTTTTTAATGCCCTGGTGACCTCTGTGATGGGGATGGGGTGAGCCACAGATCGAGGGCACGGTGTTGGGCAGGGGCTTACATCCCCAAGCCACCCTGTGGGCATGGGGCAAGCTGTTTCTCACTGGATTAATCCCAGTGATGCTGGCACCCACTTCTGGGTGGCTCTTCTACTTGCAGCCTGCTCCAGTCTCCCTGGGCTAATCATGGGGGGGGGGCTATTTCTGTAAAAGTCCACAACGTTCTTCCAGGTCACCTCAATAAAAGCACCACTCGCTAAGGGGTTTTGGTGATTTAGTGCAATACCAGAATAATTTCTTTCCGTCCCAGTCTTTGCCTTGGGATTTTTGTGCACACCCATAAACAGCAGCTGCTCTCCAAAAGAGCCCTGACCCCCTACCAGGAGAGTGGGACTGAGGCTTTGTTTTCAGCAGAAACACTGAGTTTGAATGAAAATTGCTGGAGCCGGACAGGGAAGGAGGCAGAGGCAGTGAAAGGGTTTCTGCATTGCTTTGCTGGCAGCTTTTGTGTCGATAAAAGGGTGCTGGGTTTGCAGCTCACCCTGGCTGGGACCACTGGGTGGGTCGGGGAGAGCTTTCCTGGGGCAGGCTGGGCATGGGGCTGGTTTACCCAAACCCACCTCTCGCTCGGCACCAAGCCAGGGTAGGTGCTTAACGCCGAGTCTTGCAGGTCCTGTAAGGGTGTTTAAGCCAGGGTGGGTGCTTGGGAGCACCGGCAGCTGGAGGAGGCTGGTGCCAGTGGTCAGGGAGGCTGAGGCGGTGGTGTCGGTGTGCTTGCAGAGGTGGGACCCGCCACCCTCACCGTGGACCCCCGGCTCTTCCAGCAGCGCCTACGGGAGCTCCACGTCCAGGTAAGGCGTCCTCAGCCCCGCGGCGCTGCTCCACGGCTGGCTCGGCGTGTGGCCCTGGGCTCTGCGGTCCTGCATGGTGGTGGGTCCCGGGAGCAATCCCTGCTCCGCTCCGGGCCTGGTGTGCCCCGGGAGTGTGGCGGGGGCTCGGGGCTGAGCTGGGCTTGCTGGGAGTTGACCACACTGGGGTGGGAGTGGAGAGGGTGGGTGGTGCTGGTGCTATGCCCCAGGCTCCTGCGACAGGGCAGAGTGCTCCCAGTTCACAGCTCTTGTCCCAAAGTGGGAATGCTTTCCCTGGGAGAGTTTGCACAAACTCTCTATGGAACCAAAGATCTCTTCTTCTAGAAGTGCTGTTTGAATATTGCTTGAGGTTTGGGGGTTTTTTTGGTTGTTGGTTTTTGTTTTGTTTTGGTTGTGTTTTTTTTTGGTTTTGGGTGGTTTTTTTTTTTTAATTTGAAACGATTTCAGCTGCATTGTGCCAGCTGAAACGCTCTCAGGGAGTTTAATCATGCTTTATCCATCCCCCCTCCTGCCCTGCCTCCTGTGCATTGCTAAATCCCTGCGGTGTTTCCCTTTGGATGCAGCTGTGTTTTGGCAGGAGGTGTAAAGCTGCGGCTGCAAATTGTTTCACAGCCCTTCAGGGTGCAAAGCCCCGTGGAAGCAGGAGCTGGTCCTCGCTGTGCCTCCGCGCTTGCCTGGGGTGGCTGGTTCTACTGAGTGACAGGCTGGGGTGGGCACCAATGCTTTCGTGGGAAGCCGGTGGCTTCTATGAGTCTGGATCCTCAAATGGGTGGTTAAATCATTAGCAGTGGGACAGGGATGGGTCCTTGTGATCCTGCCTGTCCCTGTGGTACCACCACGCCGCTCTGGCTGCGCTTGGTCTGACTCCAGCAAACTGGTGCGATTCCTCCCCATGAGCAGACCCTGGGTGGGATACTGCTGGCAGCCCAGAAGGGAAGGGATCTGCGCTGGGTGGCTTGGTGCCTGTGCCACGTCCCTCACTGTGTGCCACAGGGTGGAGGGGACTGCCCGGAGATGAGCGTGGGAGCCATCAGGCTGGCTGTGGAGGTTTCTCACCCCGGCTCCTTCGTCTACGTCTTCTCGGATGCTCGGGCCAAGGACTACGAGCAGCAGGAGGAGCTGCTGCTGCAGCACAAGCAGACCCAGGTGAGCAGTGCTGCCCACCCGCCCCCTGCGAGACCCAGCTTGGGTGGACGCTGCAGCAGCACGACAGCAGCTCCTGGCAATGAGCTGCAGCAATAACCCCCGCTACGTTGCCCAATACCGGGGTGAATTTTGCATCCCCCAGGGGTGTCTTGATGCACTGGGGGCTGGTGGATGCTGGCTGCATCCCCTCCCTGGGACGGACAGACATCCCATGGCTGTGCGTGGTGCTACGGGGAGTGTTGCTGTGGCAGGTGGTGTTTGTGCTGACGGGGGACTGTGGGGACAGGAGCCACCCCGGGTACCGTGTGTACGAGCGCATCGCCGCCACCAGCTCGGGGCAGATCTTCCACCTGGACAAGCAGCAGGTGACGGAGGTGAGCGGAGAGACCTGCGGGAGCAGGGACAGAGTGGCCGAGGTGCCTGTGGTCCAGGCTGGCTCGGCTGCTCTTATCCTTCAGCCTGAAGCTGAAATGAGGGCTGGAGAAGGCTGATTGCTCTTGAGCTTGCTGCTGGGCTGCTTGAGTGATCCTTGGGACGTGCTGTCTCACCTGCCCCAGCAGAGGGGTGTCTGCTTGGGGCTGAGGTTCCTGTTGCTCTCAGCACCCCGGGAATTGGGTGGGCGGCCTGGCCGCAGGGACAGGAGCCTCTCTGCCTGTCCCTGTCCTGGAAGCTCTTGACTGGCACGAAATCTCAGAGACCTGAGAAAGATCAAAGTGCTTTTCTGCTCATTGCTGGGCAGCATCCCCCAGCAGACCCCCAGCAACAGCCCCCCATGCCCAACCTCTGGCAGTTGTGTGTTTTAATGGTTTCCACTCCCATGAGTGAGCTTGGGGGGTAATAACGTGCCTGCTCGAAGCAGGAGCCACTGGGCAACAACAATTATACCAAATTACTGAATTTCTTTTGCACCTGCATGTAGCAAAGGGGGGCTCAGCCAGGGCTGTCACCTCCTGCCCGCCCATCCCCGTGCTGGCCCCTGCCAGACCTGGCTGGGGCTGGTACTTCACTCGGGCACTGTTTTGCAGCCAAGCCTGAGATTTGGACCCAGTGTAATACATTCCCACTCCTGAAATGCCCGTGTCTCGTGGTGAGGGGGAATCTGGGTTAATCCTCCCCCAGGTGCTGAAGTGGGTGGAAGAGGCCATCCAGGCCTCCAAAGTCCACTTATTGTCCACGGACCACGAGGACGGCGGGGAGCACATGTGGCCTGTCCCCTTTGACCCTAGCCTGAAGGAGGTCACCATCTCCCTGAGTGGCCCTGCCCCAGGGATCGAGGTCCGGGATCCGGCAGGTAGGAGCCCGAGGGAGGGGAATGGGTGTGGGGTGATGCTTTGCCTCCTGGGGAGCCCTCATGTCGGGACAAACAGGAGGCTGCAGGCACGGGGATCACCAAACCCTGTGCTGAAAACTTAAATAAACCAGCAATGAGCTGCAAAGCCCTCATTAAGCACCGAGTGCATCTGCTCTGCTCCCCTCCCGGGTTGGCTTTGCCTCTGGTTTTAGGATGGTTTGCTGCTCTGGCCAAGAGAACTATGTGATGGGCTCCTCACCGTGGTGAGCCCCGAGGGAGGAGGCTCCTGGCTAGCTGCAGGGACTGGGGAATGGACCTAGGTTGCCCATCCCAGAGGTTCACTCACTGTTGCAGGAAAGGTCCTCGAGAAAGGCCAAGGTCTGAAGGAACTGCTCAGCATCCCCAACTCAGCCATGGTGGTGGCCATGGAGCCCCATGAGCCAGGGACGTGGTTGGTCACGGTAGGCTGGTGGCAGACCCTGCACATCCCCTACCCACCCCCTGATGGATATTTAGCCGGCCAGGCTTTGCCAGGCACAGGGTGTCCCCCATCCACCTCCCCCCGGGTTGAGTATGTGCGAGTCGGCTGGAAGGGGCTGGCTGCCACCTCCTCCCTTCCCCTGCCCTCAACACACAACTCTTGCTCTGCTCCCAGACCCAGAGCAGCGGCCGCCACTCGCTGAGGATCACCGGCATCAGCAACATTAATTTTCAAGCCAGCTTCTCCACCCAGCCGGACTTTGATGCCAGCCAGCCTGGGGAGCGGCCGGTGCAGGGTGAGGCTGGTGCTGCCCCGGGGGGCCCGGCTGCTGCATCTGCCCTTTCTGCAGCCAGGAATGTGCCTGGGTTGTTTTTTCCCTTCCCTCTCTCCAGGTCTGCCCATCTCCGTGGTGGTGAACTGCACCGGTCTGAAGCCACCTGGGCGCTTGCAGGAGATCGAGCTCTTCAACACCTCCGGCCATGCCCTCCTCTCGCTGCCCGCCTGGCCCGTCTCCAACACCTCCTCAGGGCAGCTCTGGGTAGGCTCGCTGCTCCGCGTCCCCCCCGGAGACTTTCTGCTGAAGGTGAAGGGCAAAGATGCCCAGGGTCACCCCCTGCACCGCCTCTCCGGAGTCACCTACACCAGTGTGGTCCCTGGTGAGTGGTCCTCACGATCCTCAAGGGTGCTGAGAAGGGACCAGAGGCTCCAGCGCTGCCTCTCCTTGGTTTCTGCTTGGTTATTTTTTTATCCTGCTTCCCAGGGCACCTCTTGGTGAGCTCCCAGGGAGTGTTACATGTGTGCATGTCCCCAACCACTTCCAGGTCTACCCAAAGTGAACATCTCCAGCAAGATCCAGGCTTACAACCGGGAGCCACAGCTGATCTCCTGCTCTGCACAGAGCGAGGTCCCTTTCCGCCTGCAGCTCAGCCGTGGTAGGATGAAGCTCGGGGAAGAGCAACTCTTCAGGTGAGCCTCTGGTTTGGCCCAGTGAGCTCCATGGTGGACCTGTGTGAGCAGCAACAGTCCCCTGAGCTGTGCCAGCCAGGGGGGATGCTGTGTGCTGGCTGGGTGTTTGCTCCAAGTTCTGCAAGTTCTGGGCATCTCGAGGCAGCAGATGAAAATCCCGAGGGACATGCCTGCGGGGGGTGGGGGTGCAACCCTTTGCCTGACTTGGATGGAAAAAAGTCCCTGAGATTTGGAGCAGGGTGGTGGCACGGGAGCCCCAGGGTGGACGTGACCCCGTAGCGTCTCCCTTTGCACAGGAGTTCGGGGAACATCAGCTGGTTGATCCCCGCAGCGTCCAAGAGCGACGAAGGGTTTTACGAGTGCACAGCCACGAGCAAGGTCGGGGTGACGCGGGCTCACGCCTACGTCTCTGTCTCAGGTGGGGACTGCTCGTGCCAAGCCTCAGTGCCCACGAGTCCCTGGGTCCGTGGCTGGGCACAGGCTCATTTCCCCCCGACGTGCCGTATTTGCAGAGCGACCGCCGCGCCTCATAGCCCCGGGCAACATCACGGCTTCACCGGGCCAAGACGTGGTCATGTCCTGCCCGGTTCTGGGCGACGTACCCTACAACCTGACGTGGAGCTGGGATGGGAAGGTGGCGCAGCCGAGGGACGGCCGGACCAGGCTGCTGCAGAACCGCTCGCTGGAGATCAGCCGCGTGCAGCCGGGGGACGGGGGCCTGTACGAGTGCGTGGCACGCAGCGCCCACGGCACTGCCACCGCCTCCCTCTGGCTCTTTGTCCAGGGTAGGCTCTACCCCGTGTGGGACCCTGGCCTGGGTGATGCCTTGCCCTGTGGGCGGGCGGCGGGTGGCATGTGGGGGCTGAGTCCTTCTCCAACCCTGTGCAGAGGCGCCGTGGGTGAAGGTGGATGCCAGCCCCCAGCGTTTCGGCAGGGGCCAGGAGCTGCGGCTGAACTGCACGGCTGGGGGCCACCCCCCGCCCCACACCACCTGGAAGCGCTGGGGCTGGGCGCTGGAACGGGACGAGAGGTGGGGACCTGGGTGCCTTCATCCTCCCTGTCCCGCTGGGGGTGGTGCTCCCCTTGCAGGGATGCGCAGGCTGAGGGAGAGGGCCTTGCCCGTCGCTCTGGAAAGAGAAGGCATTGCAATATCCCCAAACCACGCACCTGAGATGGCTGGCATGCTGCTAGCCTTAATTTCATATCTTTATTTTTAAGCCATCCTGCCTTATCCAGGTCACTGTCCTCACTGAGGGGAACTCGAGGTGCTTTGCACACCTGGTGTGTGCTCAGATCTCAAAATACTCCTTGCGTTTCCCCTAAATTTTTTATGCTTTTTGGCTTCCACCTCCCTGCTTGTGTCAGGCTCTGAGTGTTGGAACAGGCTTTGGAGATTTTTTTTACTTTGGAGATGAAAAAGCCTGATTCTCAATGCTTTTCCCTGGTTCAAGGCAACATCCTTCCCTGTGGCAGCTGACGGAGCTGGCTTTAAGTGCTAACCCACGTCTATCAAATGCCCAGCACTTACCACGTGTGCGGGATGGCCTTAAGCCCACTCACTTATTTCAATTCATTTTTCATCGGCTCTGTTTTTACAGGGCTTGTTTCTCCCTCTCTCCCCGTTCGTTGCAGGGTTTTCACGGATGCTCAGGGTACCCTGCACATCAGGGCTGCTGTCCCAGAGGATGCAGGGAATTACACCTGCTACGCCAGCAGCCCACTGGGCTGGGACGAGCAACTCATCACCCTGGAGTTCACCGGTACCTGCTCCCCGCTGTCCAGCAGCATCCCGGGAAGGGCCTGGGCTCAGAGCTGCTGCAGGAGGGATTTATTATCACCCCTTGCTGTCCCTTGGCTACTGGCTGGGGCCTTGCAGCATGCGAGCTATGGGCTGGGGGCTGTCTGTGATGGAGGGTGTTGGGAGGCAGCTCCCAGGGCTCCGGGGTCCCCTTGGAGTGGATGGCACCACTCCCAAAACTTCAGGGAGTCATCGAAGCCGTCTCTATCCCTGTGGCACAGAGCCTCCTGCAATCCTGGCTGTGACGCCCAGCCTGAAGGCGCTGGTGGGAGAAGACGTGACCCTGGAGTGCTGGGTTTCGGGGGTGCCCCCACCCCACATCACGTGGTACAAAGGTGAGACTGGGACGGACCTGGGGAGCGAACCCCCTCTGTGCACTGGGGGCCCTCCGCCGCCCTGCAGGGACATCACACGTGGGGTCCCCGGGGTGAGCGGTGGGAGGGACCCCCAGAGGCACTCGGGGTGCTGATAGGGGGGGTCTTGGGGCAGGTGAGCAGGCAGTGGCGACGTTCCCGCTCGGCACCCAGCGCGCCGTCCTGCGGCTGCAGGCGGTACGGGAGGAGGACGTGGGGCAGTACGTCTGCGAGGCGCTCAGTGAGGCTGGCATCGCCTTCGACAGCACCGTGCTGGATGTGGGGTGTAAGTCTCTGCCTCTCTTTTTGGGTGCCACCGGGTGTGCTCGAGCCTGTTTTCGCTGCCCTCCCTCCTGGCTCAGCTCCCACTTGCTGCTCCCCAAGGCTCCTCTTGCCCCCAGCTCCTGAGTTTCCCAATGCGGGGGTGTTGGTGCTTGGTACAAGCAGGCTGAAGCCTGGTGGTATTTCCAAGGGTCAAGAGGAGGGAAGAAGCTCAACAAGTGGCAGAAGATGGGTGCAGGTGCTATTGCACGGGGACGTGACGGTTTGGGACTAAAGTGCGGATGTGAAGCGCTGTCAGTGGGATTAGGCAGATATGGGGGCTGGCTTCTGTGTGTCTGAAAATCCAGGTACCCCAACTGATGCTCAGGGCTTCTCACTGGAGGCAGAAGGGGTGGAAGAGCCTGGGGAGGAGGAAGAGAGGATGTTCTGAGTTGGGGGCAGTAAGGCCTGAAGCAGTTAAAGGTGGAAATGTGCTGAGCCAAGGGGGTGTTAACTGGAAGGGATAGCAACTCCAACGGCTATAACAGCTTTGGAAAAACACCAAATAAGTCAATCTTGTAACTTTTCAGGGCACCTGGCTCATGGGTTTTGCAGCCCCGTCTCTCCTCTGGGCTCAGCCGTGCACCAAGCCCGCTGCGGGAAAGCCGAGGTGTCAGCCCTGCCTGAGCCCCTTCTCCCCTGCTCTCTCCCCCAGCTGCCCCTCACTTTCCCGAGCCCCTGGGGGACGTGGCGGTCGAGGTCGGGGAGAGCGTGAGCCTGCAGTGCCGCGTCGAGGGCTCTCCCCCGCCACGGGTGACCTGGTCCCGGCAGGACGGGAAGCCCGTGCCAGGCTGGCACGGGCCACGCGGTGTTTCCAGCCAGCTGGAGGCTGCCGAGCTCCTCATTGACAGTAAGAGAGCTGAGCACGCGAGCGCGCCTTGGCGTGGTGGAGCGCACACACGGGCATCCCGCCTGGGTGCACGCTTACACGGGGTCACCCTTGGGTGCTCTCCGCCCACCCGCTGCAGGCTGGTGTCCCAGCAGTGGGATTAGCCCCTGGGCCAAATTTTTTGCAGTAGTAACTCATTGACATAGTGGTTTTATGGGCACTTTTTACTTGTGCACTTTTTACTTGTGCACTTTTTTACTTGTGCAAGCTTAGCTGTGCTGTAACAGCACGCAACCCTCCAGCGCTGCAGGGTCTCTCCCCCATTGGAGGCAGTGGTGGGACGGGGGAAGGTGGTGTCACCCCATCCTGGAGCTTGCTCGGAGCTCCCACTACACTCTGGCTTCTCCCCGCTGTGCTCCAGGCGCCTCACTGGATGACCAAGCTGTCTACATCTGCGAAGCCCAGAATGAGTTTGGGAAAATCCAAGCAGAGGTCAAGCTCGTCGTCACTGGACATGGTTTGCTTTTACGTGCTTTTGTTGGTGTATCGATCCCGGCTGCTGCCAGCACTGGCTGTGCTG